CAGGGGCGTGCTGGGAATTTTATATATACATATGTGTGTGTGTGTGTGTGTGTGTGTGTGTATTACTTGTTATTATTATTATTGATGTGCAGACAAAGTTTTAGTGATTTTGTGTCCGATACTATTTGTTGTATTTATTATTAATATTCATGTCACTGTATTTAAAATTATTTTCAGTATTGTATTTTTTTGTTAAATGTATCACGATCATGTTTCTAATCCAAGGAGCCCCAAGTGTGACATATTTTATGGCCGACTGCACGTTGACATAGCTGACCTATAGATAAAGGACAAGCTTTCATATTGCTCGTCTATTGGACAATAATAGCCAATGACTTGAGCAAATATACTGGTCAGTTTCTATTGTGTTTTCATGCATAGCTTCGAGGGCTTCTTCACGTAAAGACAGATATGACCCACTTCCAGCACTACAGATAGTTTCAAAATGAAACATCTACAATCACTTTCTGTTAAGATGTAAAGCTTTCTAGGAGGAAAATAAGTTGATCTTTATGATTATTTTTAGTAATCATAAGTTTTAGATTTCAGTGAAACATTTATTTAAAGTAATTTTAAGGAATCCACCCATAGAATAAAAACCCAAACAAATAAACTTCAGTATAAATGTTTTTTAGAAAGTCTTTATGAACACTTATACGGGGTTTGTGCTAAAACAACAACAGCTTCATTGTTGTTTCACGTTGTCTTATCAGCTCGGTCCAAAGTATCAGTCACATCCAGGGGCAAGTAGTCGATCCATGTAATGAAGCAGATGTTGTTAATAGAGGTTTTGTTCTCTGTGAATTTCACAGAAAATGTCTTCTGCCGTTATTTGTCATGGTTAAAAAAATAAGCCAGGAGTCACTTCATAGTCGTGTAGACAAAATACTACTCATCCATGCTGTCACAGGAGGGCGTGATGTAACACAAGAGGGCAGCCTGTAACGCACAATCAGGGCTTGGCAACGCAGCGTTTATTTACAGCAGCTTCTCTCATGGATCGTGGGTTTTTCACCCACGTTTCAGTTTCATATTATTTTTTGATTCCTGCGTTTATTGAGTTTTAAGTTCTTTTGCATTTTACATTCTTTCCTAATAGCTCCTGTTTTCTGGTTGGCTTCATTACACTTATATTCTCAGGCCTTCTCAGTTTATTTTTTATTTTTTTTACCTTTGACAATTTAGTTTTTGCTTGTGGTTCATATTTCATTCTTTGAGTTTCACTTCATACTTCTGTGTGCTCCTGTAGTTTGTCACGTCTCCATCTCTGTGTTAACCTTATATCAGATTACATCCTGTTTTATTTTGGTAGTCTTTTGTCCCTCATGTCTTGTATCTTTTTTTTTTTCCTTTTTCTCCTTATCAAGTAAGTTCCACCGAGCTGTTCTTTCGTCCCCTAATTAGCCCCTTGTGTGTATATAGTCCTGTCTTTATTTTGTTATGTACGACTGTTCCCCCGCTTTGTGCTCTGGTGTTGGTCCCTGGGCTTTTGGTTTTATTTTTATGCTTTCAGTTTGTTTATCTTCTTTCAAAACAAACAAATATTTGAAATATTTTTATTGAGATGTGGATTTTTATTAGACTTTTTAGTATTGAATGAATACACTACCGGTCAAAAGTTTTGGAACACAATTTTTCCAATTTTTGAAATTGAAAGTTGTGCAGTTTAATGTCTCATTTAACTTGAAATGAAAGCCAAGTACAAATAAGCAACTGGAGTTAAAAAAAACAGAAATGACTTCTGACTCAAAGTAGCCTCCTTTAGCAGATATAACAGCTGAACACACCCGTGACATTCTTTCTACGACAGAAATCAAATATTCTTCAGAAAGTTTTTCCCATATTTGTTGCAGAAGTTCCCATAAATGTGGACCTTGTAGGTTGCTTTGCTTTCTCTCTTCTGTCCAGTTCATCCCAAACCAGCTCGATGGGGTTTGAGTCTGGAGACTGTGCTGCTGTTTTCAAGCTCACCATCTTGTTCTTTTTTCCTGAGGTAGTTCTGGCACAGCTTGGACTTGGAACCATCCTTTCATCTACTCGCCTGCAAAGATCCTGCTTGATGAACCAAAGATTTCAAATTTTGATTCATCCGTCCATAATACCTTCCTCCAGTCTTCAGTAGTCCAGTGGCCGTGTTTCATGGCCCAGACAAGCCTCCTTGTCTTATTCTGACGTTTTAGCATTGTTCTGTCAAACCTGCAGCTCGAAGTCTTCTCTTCACAGTTGAAACTGAGACTTGCTTATTACGACTACTGTTGTCCTGTGAGCCCCTTATCACCCAAGCTGTTAACTCAGTCCTCTGATTCAGTTGTGTCTTTGGGTCTGCAGACCTCTACCTGTCAGATTTTGCTCCAGTTTCTTCTGATGTTTAGGGAAACTGTAGTCACCGACACCTGACTTTCATTGCAGTTTCTCTGTAGGACAGACCTATTTTTAAGTGTTATAAAGGTCTGTGTCTCTTCCATTGTTAATCACCTTTTTCTCACCATTTTTGTAGCAACACACTACTTTCAGCAGTACAATACTGTTCAACTGATGCTCACGAGGGCCTGGTACCACAGTGTGTTCCAGCACGGCTTTCATGCAGACAGAGGAGGCTGTAAGTAATCCAGAAAAGTTGGAAACCTGTAGGAATTAGTAGCACCAGTTTTCGAGACTTGATCAACCTTCATTGCTGCAGAACAGCTTTAAATTATTAACACATGTTGTTCCTGAAAAAGGTATTTTTGTAGAATTCTGAAATGGACATGATTGTTCAGTTTTGGGTAACCTTACCTTTTTTTTTTTATTTCTGGCTGTTCACCTTTTACCTTTTCATTGGACTTGGACGACTGGAATTGCAAAAAGGTTGAGGTGTTCTAAAACTTTTGACCAGTAGTGTATGCACATTTTTTAACTCATATATTTAGCTATGAGTGTCACTTATCACTGTATAACACTGTCACAGTACCTAATTACAACAGGAAACAGAGGAGTGTCCTCCATCTGTGGATCATTTGTTGCCAAGGACATAGATAAGAAGCATTCCTCATTGCAGGCTGGAGATTAGATCAGATGACCTGGCAGATGTTCTGATGTCCTACTCTCTTGCACAAGCGAATCCCTTGCACAAGCGAATCCTCCACATATTGATTTTCTGTCTCCTTATGGAAGCAATGTGCCTGCACAAAAAATAGATGACGCAAAAACAAGAAGTCTAAAGCTTTCTCTTACCTTGATGGGAAAGTAATCACGCATGTATTCCCAAACTTTGAGGCTGCACAGGAAGGGCGACCTGTTGCCTCCACGTGCAGGAGTGTCATAATCAAAGTACCACCAGACAGCATACAGCACGCTGATCAGCCAGTAGCGAGTGAACATCAGGTAAAAGAACAGGAAGATGCAGGTGGGTGCTGAGACGAGAAGGACATTCACTAACACAACAGACACTAAATGATTGGTAACTATATCAGAGTTAGCCATGATAGCGTATGCATAAATTGGACTCTGTTCAGGGGGGAGACCATCTCAGAGTCTTGAAGTCCTTTACAGATTTACAGATATGCATTAGAAGTGCCAATCTTGGTTTTATAACTGTATATTTGCTATCACTCTCATTTTTATTGCTTTCAGGACGCTTCGAATCAATATTTTTAATCTCTCTTGGCGAAAAAAGACAAATAGCATGAAGGCAAATAATCAAAGCTCGTGTTTAGCATGGACACTGAAATACTAGTTATCACAAACCTAGCTATGAATGACTTGTATCACCTGCTGCACCAGGGAGCTCATAAACTAGTTACAGAGATGGTGAAGTGGCTAAGAATGCAAATGTAAACTTGAACAGAGCCAGTGGGATAAAGTGTGGCAGCAAATATTAACAGGATTCTGTGGCTGTGTCAAAAAATAAAAAAGCTTGGAAACCCGAATTAAGGAGCTCTGTTCTCCAGAACTACAAAAACAACAGGCGGATGAAATGACTTGGATGGATGCTCTTCTGTCTGGCTCCCTCTTCTGGCCATGCAGAACTACAGCTCACGTAAAACAAAGGTTCTCTCTGTTTTGCACTAATTGTGACTTTATCAAAAGCAGCTAAACAAGCATGTTTATGTTTCACAACAATAATATTAATGTGAAAATCTTCATTTATCCTTTTACTTCTTTAGCAGAGTCATTCTTGCATCCTTCCATCATTTACAGGTTTCCCAATTTAACTCACACAGAAAAGTCAACACTCACCCAGACCAAGGAAGGTGAAGACCCACTGCAGCACCATGGCAGTCTGCAGTCTCCTGTGGAGGGGTATAGCCATGGGGGCAAAATTAATTTTCATGATTTCCACAAGAGAAGAAATCCAAACCACGGCGCTGCAGTGGAGGCAAAGAGGAAGAGCGAGAGAAGGAGGTCCAAAGTCTGCTCCTGTCACCTCTCCACCAGCATTTCCTATTGACCGGCTTATCTCAAAAGCTTAGCAAAGACTTTGATTTGCCAGTCCATATCTATGCAATCTGACTTTTGAACAAGCAAGTAATGCACTACACAGAGATCCCCAGCAAAGAACAACAAGCCACAAAGCTGTGGACTTCCTGCAGAGCATTGAAGGCAATCACTGGCTAGCATGGCCATGCTGTATGCAATATAAGTGTTTCTATTTGTAAAGGCTCCATCTTTTTGTTAGAAAAGATTATACATTTCTTGTCACATGGGGTCTATGTCAGCGCTGCATAAAAGCTTTAAAACTATTTCCAAAAGGTAAGGTAAATAGACACCTAGTCTGGACAACAGTAGCTAAGCTAAGTGAGCTAAACACACACCGAAATTAACAAAGGGATCATCAAAGGTGTGGATGGAGCATATAGATGATTCAGATTATGCATTGTGTCACAAAGCAACGCACTGATAGGACTGTAATCTATGCACATTATCTTTTTTCTAATGAGTTAGGCTGACATTTGCTGGATCAGTGGGTTTTATTGGCTTTCTTCTTTCTTCTACCCTTTGATTACATCTTCATAAATTATTTATTATCTACCTTAATTACCTCATTAACACTTTGATCTCTCTTACTCAATCAGTTTTCACTTGCACCCACTAACAAACAATAATAGCAAATACAATAGGAATTAAAAATCAATAGTCATGTCTGTAAAGCTTAACAGCTGAACTGTATAAGGCTTCCGTTCAAACAATGTGTTTTTCTGATGTCTTAAACTAAAGTCCGGTTTGAGACAGGCCCTCGGGGCATGTAAGGAGTCGGCATTATTCATGTATTCTGCTGTTGTTGGCACAATCTGCAAATGACGATATGCTCTGTCACAGAGGAGACTTTGCATGAATCACTGGCCTATTTAATGAGTGCTGTGATGGCTTTATTTTAAAGAATATGAGAAAGAATCAATAAAAACCTTCCTTTATTTAAAATTCCCTTCAATACTGTCTGTTTTTTTATACTTTTATAATCATGCATAGAACTGCAGCATTACCTGACTTAATATTTACTGACATTCATGTAAATAAATATGCAATGAACCAAAGCATTTATTTGAAAATGAAATGATATCTAAAATAATAAAAATAAAAAGATGGATGACCCTCCTGTAGGTCAGGTGCGTAAAAACAAACCGTTCGTCAAGCTCAGCATGTTTATCAGCCCGGCACTAACAGGAAACTCACAATAGTCTCAATGGGAGCCGGTGTTTCAGTGTTTGTAGCTCCCGTCAGACATCGTTTATTAATAGGAGCCTGTCGACACACAAGGTAAATCCCTTTAATATGTTTATTTTTCTTTGAGGTGTATTTCAATTTGCGCTGCTTCGAAACGGTGGAAGAGCTTTTACAATGCAGGTTACACCGGAAGTCCTCTTTAGATTGTCTCTAACGTGACGTCTAAGTGCATCCTCGGCTAGTGTCTCTGGGATGCTGAGCGGGCAGGCGGGGCCGTGTTTGCTTGCAGAGCCCTGCCGTGGAGTGATGTAGCAGGACGCACGGACACAGAGGACACAGAGACGCGGAGAGGACGTCTGTTAGAAAAAGAAAAACCTCAAAACAAAGTCGCTCAGTTCTGCAGCTGTGTTCCCTGAAAGCGCGATGGGTTTCCACACGAAGCAAATTTAACGTCAAAGACAGCATCGCATCCCTCCGTGAAGCTCGGACATCTTGGTTCACTGACAGCACAGAGTGGACTAACGTCTCCCCCCTGTCCGAGCCGCGGGACACCGTGCTGTAGCGGAGCTGTGAGCTCGGCTCACCATGGCGTGGCCCTGCATCAGCAGGGCGTGCTGCATGGCCCGCTTCTGGAACCAGCTGGACAAGGCTGACATTGCGGTGCCTTTGGTCTTCTCCAAATACACGGACGTCTCCGAGATGCAGCACATCCAGCTGCAGCCGCAGCTACATCCTCCCCAGGCCCGAGTTGCTATAGAAACGCAGCCGTCTCGCGCAGAAAGCCGCGCCGTTCCGACTGCACGCGCGCCGCGAAGGTGCGTCTCCGAGGAGCGCGTGTGCAGCTCTGTGATGCGCGAGGACTTTAAGCACTGGAAAGTGCGTCCCGAACCGAGCTGTAAGCCCAAGAACCAGTACCACGAACCGGAAACACCGTTCAACAGTGAGACCCAGTACCAGAAGGACTTCAAGCCCTGGCCCATCCCGAAGAGGTACGATCACCCCTGGATACCCAAACCGCCTCCGAGCGCCTCCGCGGGAGAAGATCGCACACCGGCTAGGTCCAAGTACCCAAAAAAGCACGTGGTGGTGGCGGAGGCGGACAGCGGCGTTGAAAAAAGCGCTATAGCCGACAAGGTCCAGGAGAAGGACCTGCTCCAGGGCCAGGAGAGGAAAAAGCGCGTCAGCAAGAAGGAGGGGGAGAAGAAAGTGGTCCTGAAGGGGGATGGAGAGGGCAGAGGGAGGGCGGCGGACGCCGTGAACAGACAGATCAAAGAGGAGATTTCAGGCGGCAGCTCCTACAAGTAAGTTAATACAGTGCCTGTCAGTGTGTGTGTGTGTGTGTGTGTGTGTGTGTGTGTGTGTGTGTG